AAAGAAACGAAAAAGTTTTTAAATTTGTAACAAAGTCTATTCACTCCCCCTCTAGACTTTGTATCTCACCACTTTGGGACCACCAACCCAATATATAATCCTTGACAGATGAATTTCTACCTAGGCTTGCCGATGTGCTTGGAAATGGAATTGAAAAAGTGTTTGGCCAAATTTACCTTTGTTTTGGTAATGAGGGCATTGATGATGAAAGCTCTCTCCTGGGTGATGTCATATGCATGTCCTCCACTTCCACATTCGAGACATGCAATGACAAGCTCCAAGATCAGCTTATAGTCATTCTTCAAATCAGCCTTCTTTGCTAGGCCAGAGGGGACTTATCCAGAAATCCAAATGTTATTCCAATCCAGATTCTTGGACCTGAGTTTCCCAACATCAATTCCAGAATTGAGAAGATGAAGCTTTTTTGCAGCTTCTTCTGTGAAATTTTCACTTTTGTGCCTCCAACATTTGATTCGATGATTTGAATTGACCTTTGTGGATTCTTCATTGATTGGACAGTCTTGATTTCTCCATTTCTGTAGAATTCCAGAACTTCTTCTTCATACTTGAAAAGAATTTCCAAATGAAGAAATTCTGAAAGTCCTTGTGCTCTAATCATCTCCAGATATGCTTCATAGAATGCCAGGGAAGAACATTTAGCTTCCAATTTCTTGAAATGGACATTCGTGCCACCGACCTTCATTTTTCTGAATTTTGTGAGAAAGTATTCGAAGGAATTAGGGTTCTTCTGAGATTTCTTGAAGATCCATGAAGAAGGTTTGAGTGGGCTGAGTGGCCAGTTGAGATTTGAGATCGTGGCGATTGGGTTTTAATTTGGGCGATTTATGCGTCGGGTGGCGATTTGGTTTTTAACTGTTCCCAAGGCCACGTGCCTACGCGTTGCATTATCAGACGTGGATGTGGACCGCCATGTGTACCGCACTCAGTCTAATTTAATTAGACTAATTTTGTGAAGCGATTCGGAAAACCTGGCTTCACTTAGTGGTTTTGTGAAGATATCCGCGAATTGTTCTTCAGTTTAGATGTACTCAATTCTGATATCCTTCTTTTCCACATGATCTCTAATGAAGTGGTGCTTGACATCAATATGCTTAGTGCAAGAATGATGCACTGGATTTGTAAAATGGCTATAGCACTTTGATTGTCACAAAATATAGTCACTTCCTTCGTTTTGACTTCATAGTCTAGTAGTTGTTGTTTTAACCACAAGATCTGTGCACAACAACTACCCGCAGCAATGTACTCTGCTTCTGATGTTGGTGTAGAGATGGAATTTTATTTCTTACTGAACCAAGAAACAAGATTTCCGCCAATGAATTGACAAGTACCAGAGGTACTCTTCTGGTCAACTTTGCATCCGCCAAAGTCAAAATCAAAGTATCCCACTAACTCAAATGAGCTTCCCTTAGCATACCATAAACCCATTTTTTGAGTTCCTTTAAGGTATCTAAAAATCCTTTTGGCTGCTATTAGATGTCTTTTCTTTTAGCTTTGATTGAAATCTAGCTCAAACACCTACTGCGTATGAGATATCTGGACGGCTTGCAGTAAGGTAGAGTAGAAATCTGACTATTCCTCTGTAGAGAGTTTGATCAACATCCTTTCCATCCACATCCATGTCAAGTTTGGTGGATGTACTCGTGGGGACAGAAACGGATGACTTCTAATCAACTTTGAACTTCTTGATAAGATCCATTGTGTACTTAGCCTGATTGATGAGAGTCCTTTCACTTCTCTGCTTGATTTGAAGACCAAGGAAGTAGTTGAGTTCCCCCATCATGCTCATCTCAAATTTTTCTTGCATGAGGGTGGAGAACTTGGTGCAAAGAGCTTTCTTAGTTGAGCCAAATATGATATCGTCCATATAGATTTAGACTAACAAGAGATCTTCACCATCTTGGAATTTGAACAAGGTTTTGTCAATGACTCCCTTGATGAATCCATTGTCTATTAGAAATTGAGACAATGTATCAAACCAAGCTCTTGGTGCTTGTTTGATTCCATACATGCCTTTTTGAGTCTATACACTTAATCATCTTTAGAGTGTAACTCAAATCCTAGAGGTTGTTCCACATAAACGTCTTCCTCTAGGTTTCCTTTGAGAAACGCGCTTTTGACATCCATTTGATATATATGTATGTATGTATATATATATATATATATATATATATATATATATATATATACACTACCTCCGTCCCAGAGTATTTGTCTTCTTTCATTTTTACACATCATTCAATACACTTCTTTAATCCTTTTTATCTTGTAATTTGTATATTAAAAAATTATAGAAATTATATATTAGCAATCTATATGTAAAGACAAATCAAACAAGATTACACATGACTATATTTAGGCTTATACATTGAGAGAATTTGATGAGTCAAAATACTTAGATGAACAGTTCCAAAAGTCAAAAGTGGACGAATACTCCGGGACAGAGGGAGTGTGTGTGTGTGTGTGTGTGTGTGTGTATATATATATATATATATATGGGAGCGTCTAAAATGACACCAGTTGTTTACACCAGTTCGTTTAGGGTACCTACGGTGCTTTGTTTGTAAAAACGATGGTTCCTACCCCCTAACCCTCCCGCTAAACCCCCACCCCAGCCCCACCCTTGCCCCCCACCCCATCCCCCCCCTCCTGTCCCCCTCCCTACCCTGGTACTGCCAGGGTAGGGAGGGGGGCGGGAGGGGGGACTGGGGTGGGGCGGCAAGGGTGGGGCTGGGGTGGGGGGTTTAGGGGGAGGGTTAGGGGGGTAGGAACCATCGTTCTTACAAACAAAGCACCGTAGGTACCCCAAACGAACTGGTGTAAGCAAATGACACCAATAGCACTGATGTCATTTTAGACTTACCGTATATATATATATATATATATATATATATATATATATATATAGATTTTGGTTCTGGTGAGAATGAATCTTAAGAGAGAAATGAGAATGAATCTAGTGCTTTAGATTGTGAGATCTAAGGGTCAAGATTTCATCAAAATTAGATGCACCAAAATGGTGCGAAAATGCATCACGTCGAAATGCACCATAAACCTTCGAAAATGCATTATCTCAAAATCTGAGCGCAGGATGCAATCTGAGCCGTACGATGCATCAGATCCGACGGCTAG